TAGATGAATTTTGTTAATGCATATGAGAACATTTGCCAACCCTGAAAGTACCTTCTGTTTTAAGTTAATCAATAATATTGCTTTGTGATTGGCAGCTAATTACAGAAAATCCCTTCTTAGTCACCCAACTAAAATTTTCAAAGTGTCGATTAACTCGAGAACATAAAGTTGGAATATATATTATCAGGATGAACCACTAAAGTGTTAAAGACTGTTTGTCTTATTTGCCAACTCTAACAGATCTGGATAATTCAGAGAAGAATGAAAAACTGAAATTCAGCATCCTTGTACGACTTCCTCCGGTAATCCTGAATTTTATTTTCCCCTAAGTCTTGGCACAACCCTCCTTCAATTTCTTTTTGTAAAAAGAGCATTTACTTTCTTTTGGCTAAAGTCAATTGAAGTATTTCATTTTCCAGTTCTTCCCAAGAAATCCTATCCACCCCCACCCCTCTGTTGGCTATTTCCCGTTAGTTCTACAATGTACTTGCTTTTCCGGCTTTGCACAGTATTGGCATAGCCCACTGAGAACATTTAGCCATCTTCTCCTCTTAGGAAACCACACTAATATTTACATCTGAGTCTGAGTAGGAGTGAGAGGGGAAACACGTGCTTTTGGCATTTAAACTGATAAGAAATTTAAATGCAGGTGAGGTCAGAGGTTCTGGAACTGTATTTCCTCTTAGTACATTTCCAGCAGGAAAACATTCCCAGGTCAAAGGAAAAATGAGAAACATGAGGGGAAAAAGTTAAAGGAATTCCTTGGAGGTTTTTCTTTCTTTCTTTGTTTCTTTTTTTTTTTTTTTGAGGGGGAGGGGTGCACTAATATCCAAGTCTGAAATACCATGAAAAAATACAGAATTCCACAGCAAAGTCTTCTGACTACTTCCTGACCCTAAGAGCCTAGGTACCTGTCCACGGTTTACCTCCCTTGAGTGCTTGTACTTTTGACACCATCCTCCCCAAGGGAGGTCCTTTCTGGACCTAGTGGTCTCACTTTGTAATAGTCTCTCTCCATCACAGGCTTAATGAAGCAAAGGCAAGAATAGAGAACAAAGCATATTTTCCCTGGCTCAGTCTCTCTAGGGAACATTGCTGAACATTTAGTTTGGTCTATAAATTTGATTTTTTTTTGTTTGTTTTTTTGGCCTCAGACCTAGTGAATAAAAATTTCCTAGGTAAGACAGTGGCAGAGAAGTTGATATAAACATGCCTATAACCTTTTGTTTGCTTTTAAAATATCACTTAGGCTTGCCACACACATTTCCAGCTTTTAAGAGTAGCAGATAACTCCATTTCAGAAAAAGAATTTGGCAGCATGAATGTATCAACTGCTTTCCTCAAGGTAGCAATTGAGAGGAGTCTTAATTCAAAACTCAGAAGCATACTTCATAGCAATGTAGTCTTTCTTTTAAAATGGCTAGTCATTTTGGAATATTACTTTTAAAATTATGAACACATAAGGTATATTTAATGAACTGTGAGATATATTTTTTATACAATTTTCAATTTGCATGATAGCTCATTGGTCAGAAGATCTGTCGAGTTTGGGATCATCCTATGAGTTCCAATATCATTTCACGGACCCATGTGACCCAACTGCTTCAGAACTATAAGAAGCAGGTGAGTCTGTGAAAACACAGCCCTTCCATGTTCCTGTTTCCCAGTGTCAACATAACCACATGGACAGCAACTGTAMTTCTGATGACTTTAAATGCATGATTGTTTCAGAGATATCAGTTAATACCAGAAGTGGTTTCTCTTTTAGTCTCGGAATTCCATGATGGACAAGTCATCATTCAGTGTAGAATTTCTGCCTCTGAACTACTTCATTGAAATTCTGACTGACCTGGAGTCCTCCAGTCAAGGTAATTCAGCCCTCTGTTCACAGCTTTCTCCTTGACACATCAGTCATTCTCTATTCACTTCTGTGTACCATTTTCTTTTCAAAAATATGCCTTTACAAGTAGGCCTTTACTGCAATTGATTTTCATTAGCCATACACAATTTACTGCCCAAATTACAAAAGGAATCATCACCTTTGATGTTTTAAAAGGGTTTAAATCCTGTTTAGTTGATGTGAATGCTCTTGAAGTTTAATGAAATTTCACAACACATTCTGAGAATGTATTTTGATAAAATATAAAGTTAATGAGCTATGGGAAAAAGTTATAAATATTCCTCGGTTCTATAGTAACACACATACACATTTTTCCCCCCAGCTCTATGTGATTTTGAAGGACATGACAATGTGGATGCGCAATTTATACAGGAAGCAGCTCTGAAACACACCACAATGCTTTTGGACTTATAAAAKAAAAAAATTTCTATAGTAACTACTTGTAATATTTTAATCTTGCTCATTAACCTTACTCATATTGATAATTCTTTAGCAATATTTAAAACTGATAAAAAATCAGAATATATTGTTGAACAGTCTGAATTTCAGTTTGGTCCTTGTTTAGACAGAATTAACCTMATTCCAGTTTTGAACAACCAATAAACAGTCAAGTGTATTGAAATGACAAACAGTCCAAGATGACCTTCAGTGCCATAAACAGTGCTCTTCCTAGTGGCCAAGCAGACCAAGAGCTAGTTTCTGTTGAACTTTGGAATAAAATGGACTTCAGAAATGTAGGAAATAGTGGTTAGGCCAGCAAAAACTTAAAAATAACAAGCAGAAGAAATATTGTATAAGAATTTTACTTGAAAAGGGTTTTTTTTTTAAATTGGACTAGATAAAATCTATCTCCACTATACCATCATTTGTAACATAGTAATTTGTACATRTAATAGAGTAGGGTTTGTCTTTGTGATAGTTCAGATGGAACTGTATTTAATTTTTTATATTTATAAAAGTTTGATTTAGTATTATACTATTAAAAAAACCCCAATGCTGACAGCTTTGGTCTGACTCTTCTGTTTTTGAACATAGCCTTTTTATCCAGGAATCTTGAGTCCATGAACATGTTCCTTTAGTGTTCCCCAGGACACCTTAACTGGCTGTACCATTTTCTGTTTTTCTCTCTTACAGTGACTTAATTCTGATCCATAAATCAGTTGCTTCTGGGTCTCAGCTTATAATGCTTTTTTTCCCCTCTTCAGTATTCTTGTGAAAATTTAATGATTATAAATGTCACCAATGATTATTCAACTTTTTTTTTTTGAAGAAAAGTCACCATTGTGTTCTAAAAATTGCCCTCTCCTATAGAATTTCCTCTTTTGTTCAAACACTTCATAGTCACCAATCCTCAAGATCTTGGAGCCAAATCAGCAATGCAGTGCCGATTCTTTTGAATGAGGTCTTTTTTGAATTGTCATTGCCTAAAGCCTAATTTTTCACACACATATTTAAGATAAACATTAGTTTGATCCTATCAGTTTGCTCATAATCATTCAATAGCTTGCTATTCAGTAAAAGAAAATTCAAACTCCTTAATGTTCAACTTTTCCAAATCCTGACCCTGTATACCATTAGCATTCTTTTACAGGTAGGCCAGCTCACTGGGACATGAATACAGCTTTTTAAAGCTATTTCTCTCACTTAAAATCTCTCTCCACCTGTTAAAATCTTTTTCATGCTTAAGGGCCAGATTAGAAGTTCTGTTTGATGGGGCTGGGGCTGTAGCTCAGTGGCAGAGCGCTTGCCTAGCATATGTGAAGCACTGGGTTTGATCCTCAGCACCACATAAAAATAAACAAAATAAAGACATGCTGTCCACCTACAATTACACAAAATTTAAATAAGAAAAAAAGAAGTTCCATTTGAGTGTAATCCAGGTCATTTCAACACATGGTGGCACCTACCTTCTCTCAATCAGTAGTATACATTATAATGGTTAAATATCCATCCCTTGTGATTTTTTAAAAGGTGTTTCCTTTTTTTTTTTGGTGTTTGAACTTCAAACATTTAAAAAAAATGTTCTAATTAGTTATACATGACAGTAGAATGCACTTATGGTGTTTAAACTTATGCGCATATTGAGTCCTTAAAGAGATTACTAGTTTCTACAACACAGCTCTCTTTAAGTATATAGCATTCATTTATTAACTGCATGGTTGATACAGTGTTACTTATCAAAGGCACTCCCAAATAATTACTTTATAATAACTCTGCAAAGCAATTAGGTTAGATTTGGGACTCAGAATGAGAAGGAAATTAAATTTTCCAATTTGACAAGATAGGGGCTTAGAACAGAATATTTATCCAAATAAAGGGATATATTTCTCATTCCAAGAGTTGTGAAATGAAATTTATAATTACTACCAGTGACTATAAAAACATAATGTTTCAACCTAGTTGTATATTCTTGTATATGAGAAATCAGAATTAGGAAAATACACTTGGTGAAATACAGTAATATTAGAGTAGTAAGTAGAATTGGCCTCATTTTCAGGTCTTCTCTCGCACATGCAAAACTGTAAATATAGTATTTAATTTGAGATTTTGATAAATCTATTATTAGAGCTTAAAATAATCATTTGATTTACAGATAATGTGAAAAATCCGGATTCATAAGAAAGATAGATTAGGACATAAATATTTGTGTGGCAAAAGGATTCTTGTGAAAAAGAATCACTATAACATCAAAAAAGACAAGCTTGGCTACTGCTTCTTACCTGATTTAGATTTACTAACATGACCTTCAAGTGCCACCTCAACAAACTTGAGTTATGCTTTTGGATCCTTGGGATATCTTAAATTCTTTTTCAACTGCATACATGGAACTTAATTCTGTACTTTGATGAAAAGTTATTTTATTCTGCACTTGCCTACTACATATTTCCGAAACTATGAAGAGTGAAAAWTACACGAGTAATTAAAATATTTGCGTTGAAGTGTGGGGCAATTCTGTGTCTTTCTCAACATCATGTGAAACACAGAAGTTGGTTAGTGTAAAAAGAACCAAGTTGTACTGTTGCTGGTTGCGCTTCATTGATCTGCAGTGTGAGAATGATGATGCTCACGTGCTCTGGCTGTAGAAATGAGGAATCCTGGATTGGTCTACACATTCAAATTTCAATTGGCTTTATAACAGGTTTCCTTATRTGCCTCATATTGGATCCAGGTTCACTGGGCTTAAAAGGAGCCAGAGCACCGTATGGCTTTGGCACGGGAAGAGTGGCGTCTGCTTCCGGAATGTAGGCATTTGGGCGCTGCTCCGCTGATGTGTAAACACCATTGGGCAGCAGTTGATTATCTCTTTCTCGCAACTCCTGCAAAGAATCATTTTCTTTCAGTTTTCTGAAAACTCTAAAGTTACCCCACCTTCAGATCCCCAAAGACACAACTGAGTCTGAGCAGCCTTATGCTGTGCTCAATGATCTGCCCCCCACATTGCAACTCACTGCTATGGGATGTATTGGTTAAGCATCATGATGAGGCTGAGGCTTAGGGTTTATCAAAAACTGCTTGTTGGGTTCTAGATGCACTGCATTCCAAYCTCAGTCTCTCATCAAGAGCTAATTATTTCTGCACTTTTTACAAAGGCAGAACAGTAATATTTTCTTTGCTAAGTGACTGATGAGCAAATTTACAACAGACTAGACAATAAATGGAACCACAAGAGAGAAATGGTCAGCAGTTTGAGCCTCAAGGTCTTCAATATTTCTGCCTGTGCCTCTGGACAATAATCTTAGGGCACTAATATAAAGTCTACATGATGAAGAGTATAGTCCCAGGAAAGTATAGCCCTGGAAAGGCTCATCCCAGATGGTATGGAAATTACAAATCAGACCCTGTGCTCTGTAGTCCTAGTACGGATTCAGACTGTATATTTTACTTGGCTTAGTGATAAATAGTGATCCTTTTAGGGACATTCACTTGACAGTCTGATTTGTATCCCAGGATGCCATCTACTTGGCAGGAGATGCTTGATTCTAATCTTAATCTACTGAAAGCTTATGAGGGTAGACAGAAGAACGGGGCACCAAACTTGTATATGGATTCAATGGTAGAAAGAGACTTAGGCTAGAGGTGGGAGAAGAAAGGAGTGGCCTGGAGGCCTGTGATGCATACCAGGTGTGATGTCTGTAGAAGGCAGTGGCAATCACCTTGATATGCATGATATTGTGGAAGTTTACAATGTGCTGTGAACACAGAAGAGGCAGGTATCTGAGCAAGGGTGTGAGAAGAAAGACTGGAGACCTTTGGACGAAGCCAGTGCCATGCTGGTGGGAGCCCTGGGAGTAGAACTGGGAGGGGACTTGATGCTTATCGAGTGTTCTTCAAGTGCACTGCTATACTTTGACTTATCTATGTAATATAACAAGTTTCTTTTTAATGTATTTTGGGACTGTGTGTAGGAGAGGAAGACATTTTTCATAAATGGGCTGAGCATCCCTAACCCCAAAACCTGAAATCCAAAAATACTCCAAAGTCCTAACTTTTTGAACACAGGATGTCACAAGTATAAAATTCCACAGCTGACATCACCAGGTGTTATAGTAAAAACTCAGGCTGTGTGTGCAATGTACATATTAAATATAAATAGGTGCTATACCCAAGATAGCTCATTATGTATATGCAAATATTCTGAAATCTGAGAAAAATCCAACACACTTTTGGTCCCAAGCATTTTGAATAAAGAATAGACCACCTACATAGGAAGACTGGTTCCCAGAAACAGCCCTTCCTGGCACACTTAAATTTTTTTTTTTTTTTTTTTTTTATTAATCCAGGGGTGCTTTACCACTGAGCTACATCTCCAGTCCTTTCTATTTTTGAGAAAAGGTCTGGCTAAGTTGCTGAGGCTAGCTTCAAACTTGGGATCCTCCTGCCTCAGCTTCTTCAATTGCTGGGATTACAGTGACTGTGTCTGGCCTTTCTTGGCACACTTTACAAATGCAATATGGGAGCCAAAGCTTACCCGAAACTTTTCAGTGAGGGCCATTTCATACATTTGTTCATCTCGAAGTACCTTCATCCATTCTCTCTCAATGTCTTTATTGAGTGGCARACCTTTTTCTAACCTGGAATTGCAATAAAAGATGAATTCTTCTTTCTCTTTGACTTCCTTCTGGAGTTCAATGGTCAGGGCTTGTTTCATGGACAGCTCAGCAACAAGAGCCATCATTTTTTCAGTAACATCTTTGATCCTTTTCTGATAGCCATTCATCTAGAATCAAAGAGCCCAAGGTTTAGTCAATAGGTATATTCCATGAAGACTTGAGGAAAATGGCAGTCTGTTGGCTATCTGTAATGGTGTGTGTGTGAGGGGGGCAGCATTCTTACCTGAAGGAAGGAAGGTTTAACAATTTATGGAAAATAAGAAATGAAAGAGACTTCAGGGATTAAGCCCAACACCCTGGTATATGAAGAAAAAAATGTTTATCAGTTACTTGATTTTGCAGTGAACAGCATGGAGGGGAAGTTTAATGTCTGCTTTTAAGAGGTGAGAAAGAGAGATGAGAGAATGGTCTTAATGCTTCAGTTCTGGCCGAAGTTAACATTTTGTATCTTACCCAGCTATGCTAGAGCTTTCCTGGCCATGTCAAAGTGGTCACTATTATCATTTCTCAGGTACCTTCCAGGGAGACATTGAGCTTTGACAAATAAGCCCTCATTTAAAAAAAATGACTTTTCCTCAAGAAGGGAAATTTATTTTGCAGAAGGAAACACGAGGTGTGCAAATTCATGAGCTTAAGTAAGTATTAGTGATTATTTTATGAGGTAAGCTGTGAACTATAGAGCTGCCACTGGACAGATCAGTCTATTAGAAGTGGCCAGAGGACAAATATAAAAACCAAATAAAAATGAAAGTACCCTAAGATTTACTATCTTTCCTATTTGGTGTGCCCAAGCTTTCTAGAACAGGATTACTTATTCATGAATGTTTTTCTAKAGTCTAGTACTTGTGGGACACTGGGGAAACTTAAGAATGAGAAACTATTGCTGCCTTCTAGAGCCCACAATCTGGGATATAGACACCACCATTATCTGTCATCTTCCGTCTCCCCTGCTGAACATCATACAAGGTGGACAAGGTGTCCCTTCCTCTTTGTTTTTGCCCTCACAGCCTAGCATGAGAGTAGCACAAAGCAAGAGTTCAGTGACAGTGGCTGAGTGACTGAAATCCCTGTGTTGGCGAGAAGCTGCCAGGGATTACAGGGGCCAGTGAATGACCGATCTTCTCATTGCTCAAGGTGATGAGTCTAGTCCTGATATGTCTGAATCCCCAACCTCCCTTCCTGTGACTGCAACTTTTAGCATAGCTTTTAGCAGTTCCGCCCCCAGTAATTTTGAAGCTCCATGTTATTGGCCTTTCCTCGTTGGTAGTGGCTGTACCTCATGGTGTAGTCAGCCTGGGTATAGTGTGTCTGTTCTGCTCTTCAAGAAAGCCGAGTTCAGAATTGAAGCCTTTCCTACAAACCACTGGATAAGTGAGGCCTTCTGTTCAAAAGACATTAGGATTTAATTTTGTGCATGAAATACAAAGAAAACAATTTTCATACTTGAGTGGTTGCCTGATAACTTATTTACTATTATTGAAAAGCTTAGATTTTTCTCATTGTAAAATTAATTCATTCAAGGAACRAGACAAACTTGTTTTGGACAATTCGGAGTCATTTACAGTTTTTTGTTTCTCTAATCTCTCCAGTGCTTCTCTCAATAAACCAAGCAACCTGGAAAATGAGAGCTAATAAAGGAGTAGGGGCAGAAGAGAGAGGGTGGGTTTCAGGCAGACCTTCTTGGCTAAGAGCAGCGTGTCCTGCTTGCAGGCCTCAGTTTTGCTGCAGAGCCTGTCTGTAAGTCGGGAGACCTGTTCGAAGATGAAATCCTTCTCTAGTAACTTCTCCTCCTTCTTGGCCAACTGTAGTTCCAGCTGTTGAAAACAATTTCAATAGAAAGAAAAAAGAAAACACTCATGCAAGGCACAATCTTCTTTCCTAATTGGAGTACTACCTGACCCCCACCCCACCCCCCAGTAGTGCAGAGACGTTGCTTTCTCAGTTGTTGCAAGTTTTTGGAGATTGGGCCAAGTCAAGACTTCCCATGCCCCAGCCCCCTCCAGATAACTCTGGGAGTTCTTCCCTCCTGGTGGACTAGGGTCCAGTTCCATCAGGCGTCCACAGTTGTAATAGTTGAGTAGTTGCTTGCCAAATGAAGCTCCAATGTTTTGAAAAGCTTAGGTTTTCTCATTGTAAAATGAATTCATTCTGAGAACAAGGAAAACTTGTTTTGGACAATTCTCTCAGTCTTTTATAGTTTGTTTCTCTAGATGTAAAGCCTAATCTCTCCAGTGCTTCTTTCAATAGCTCCAGATAGCACTGGAAATTCTTACCTCCATGGTCGACTTTGGACCTCTCAGCTCTGCCCAGTATACAAAATTTTCATTCTTTTGATCAGTAAGACAAATTGATCTATTCATTCAAGAAGTCAAAATGGTTGCTTTTAGCTCTGAGGGAATGGTGTCTTAGGAATCTTGAAGGCACTGGACTTTTACTTTTGGTAAGTGTCTAAATCCTAGAAATTTTTACTAGGTTACAGTAAAAGGACTCTGAGTGGCTGGAATAATGGATAGGTCTCTCAGCATAACAGGAAACAGGACCACAGGTATCTCTGAAACTGTACACAAGAGGCAAGTAGATGCAGTTTTAAGCAAGGCTGTTTACCTCATCTAATTTTTTGATCATTTCTGCTTCGGTCAGGTCCTTCCCTCGAAGGAGACGTATTCTGTTTTTATCCCCAGGATTTATAAACTGTTTCTCCAGGTCTCTTATTCTGTCTGTACACTGTGCAAACTGTTAAATAACAAACAAACATTAGTTTTAAAACTAACTCTCCAGCTCAGTAAATCTTAGGCTTGTGTGGCCAGGGTCTCTAGAGCCCTTTAGTAGGCCCAACCCAGGCAAGGGTAGAGGAGAACTGTTTTCTTAACACCCATAAGTTGGGACTTGTGGTTAACAGTGTTTCTGTTCACTCATGGGACCATGAGGATGATGCCTTGGGTTGACTATGCAAGACAAGTCTGGCTTCTGAGTCAGAGAAAAAGCCGAGTTCACAAAGAGCCCTTCGATTGCTCCCCATTTTGTGTGGGATACTGCGTGGTTGCAGGACTCAAAAGTATACAGCCTATCCTTTTGTGTTGCAGGTTGTTACAGAGCCCAGGGTAGCTAGCATATAATATGCTGACTCCACTTTAAAACCATTTGCTGGCAATAGGCTTAATGGCATCCTCCAAAAGAAGAAAGTTGTTAATTATGGGGTCACACAGTGAACACTCTTAGCATCAGTCATGTGTAATATTTTTGTTAAATCTCTAATATAATGCTTTATATATCAATTTGTGTATATATTTGTTGAATCATTGAAACTTGGAGATAGATGAAGAAACAGGACTACACTCAAACAGAAATGATAGGCACACTTAGTTTTTTTCTTTATAATGAGAGGTGTGGACCATGGTGACAATCAAGAGGCATTATTTCAACTTTCTACTGAAGGCTTATGTGATCAGGCAAATAATTTCTCTGAACCTTAGTTTCCTTGATGGTCACATGGGAAGATAAGGCTCAATTGACAGAGTTGATCCATCAAATGAGATAACAGATTTGAAGTATATTACAACATGCCCAAGAGTGGCACAGATAGGATTTTAAAAATTCCAATCAGTGCTSCTCCTCCTCATAAAATTTTTTTAATGGTAATATTTTTTTTCCTTCCTCTCTACATTCCTTAATAGCACTTAATCCCATATATACTTCAATTCTATAAAGATTTTAAGTTCTTGCTAACACAGTGTTCCCTTAACTAGAAAACTGAGAAACAAAAATGCAGTGTTTATCAAAGTGCCTTCATTTTATTCCCCCATTGGCATCTGAGGAAAAACTGTTTACTTTCTCTCTATAAAAGTGTCTTGGTATCCTAAAATAGTTCAAGAGATTTCTAAGATCCCTAAAATGGAGTTGTTATTACAGGATCCAGGAGATCATGACTCATGATAGTTCTGCATTAGTCTGTTGGACAATTAAAAACTGTTTCAAATAACGTGGTGGTGGTGGTGGGGGAAGCTTAATAGAGCTCTGAAATAATACAACAAAGATGACTTAAAAAAAAAAAGCCGAAACACTGCGTCTGAAACCAATAACAGGATATGATGAGGATCCGGCCCTGGAGGACAGAGTGCAAACATGGTGTACTTGAAGCTAGAAATTTTGCATCACATCCTTCCAGAGCATGTGTGATTAGTGCTGAGTAGACAAACATTTAAATGCAGTTTGAAGATGAATGGAAACTTTCTATCCAACTGTTCCTAAGCATAGAGTTCACCCTGCTAAAATAGGTAACTGATAATATGTAGCACACATTTCGATTAATATGCAATCAAAATGATAATGGCTCACCACCATCATGCACAGCAAGTAGTATTAAATATTTTCCTTTTGGGTAAAACTGCATTCACATTTCACAGTGGATGATTTTATTTAATGAAATGCCAAGTATTTTTTTTTCTGAAAACAATTTTCAGTGGATGGAATTATTGATTTGTGATCCACACAAAGAATATGCTCACAGAGAAGACATTGTTCTATTTTTGGTCTTACTGAATTTAAAGTCTTTTTTGGACATCCTGATAGTTGAGAATGAATGGGCAAAGACAGACCTGAAGCTACATTTTGGGAGAGAGCTGAATTACTATAAAAAATTCAGTGACTGGAGGACAGTGTGGGACAATGAAGCTGTGGAGGGAAATGGGAGATGAAAGACCAGTCAGTGAAATTGAGCCAGGTGGGGGTGCTGCATGGGGCAAAGCACCTGGGGGTGAGGGGCATCCCTGAGACAGAGTGGCCCCAAAGGACTTTGAAGGGCATGGATTTCTTAGATCTAATTTGAAGTTCCTTGCCTTTCTGTAACATAACCCCATACAGAGTTGCCTCAGGTCTTCACTAAAATCTGTTCAAAGGCCTTGATCTTGAGTAGGTGTAGACCAAGGAAGGGACCAGTCCAGAGGCTGCACTGATGTGGCACAGAAGTGGAATAGGCACTGAGTGTTTGGTCTGATGAGGTAAGTCCCCACATGAACCTCTTGTTCATTATTAAATTATAGGGGAATTAGAGATTAAATCTCATTCTATGTGACTGAACATTAATAAGCAGCGAGCTTCAGGTAATCACTTGCTCCAGAGGACAAGGGGACCACACATGGTGCCCAAGCTGTTCCCAGCAAGCATCAGCAGCATAATTATGCTGTGGCTATTGACAGCCTAGATTGCTAAGTTTTAAGATATGAGRAAGCTGAGCTAGAAAAAGGGGGAAAGCAGGAGATGCTTCATGAGAGAAAAATCTATAGCTATGAAGCCTTCTCAGATTCCATCCCGGAGTAGTGTTTAAAGGTATTTTCAAACAAGACATCATTCATAGGTTTCTATAGGCACCAGGGGTAGCATGGATTGGTTTACATGCAAGAACTCAAGTGATCTACAAACTAATTAAGGTAAGAGACAAATGCAAATGATGTGAGGAAGTGTCCCAGGACAGCTCTCTCACCTGAATCTGGAGCACCGCAAGATCGGCATCCAAGGCACTCTTGACTGGCAGTAACTTCTTTGTCACGCTAATCTGTCTTTGCTTCTCGGCTATCT